TGGAATCCTGGAAAAATAGTTGTGGCCATTAGCATGGACTTAAAAAAATAAATCTAAACAGTTGATTTCTAAACAAGTAATACTTGCATCTTGTAAAAACGTGAAGTATGTATATCGGAAAATATTTTCCTTCCACCCTGACTCCTGGTTCCTCTTGTTGTACCCAAGTGAGTCAAGGAATGCGCCACACTCTGAGATTGAATTATGAGTCCTTTATTATGCCGGCGACCGAGAGGTGGCTAATGCCCAAAATTCTCTCAGCCTCTAAGAAAAAGTTAGGTGGTCTTTTATAACCTAGTTTTGAAGGGGAGGGGGAACCTAGCTGAAGCAAATTTTTCACAAAAGCAGAGTAAGCAAAAAAGTTAAAAGAAAAACTGGTACATGAGAAATAAAACAGTGCCAGGTGAGAGGGGCAAAGTTGTCATGAAAGACATACAACTTATAGATAATGGGGCTCTGGGCGCTCAACAGCACCTGCATTCCCAGGCTCTGCTGGTACCACTTAACTCGGCCCCCTATCAACAAACGCATTCCTGGAGGTGCCCAGTGTCAGCCTGCCCCAGCTACATACTATAGTTACATACTTAATGGTGGGAAAATAACTAAAATGAAGAAGCTAAAATTGAGTCTGTCTGGCTCAAGGAGCTAACATAAACTCTGGCCAGCTTTAGTCTGAGAAAGAGAGAGTTAGTTTTAGCTAGCAAAAATCAGGTTATCACACTCTTCCCCAGTTTCCTGCCTGTCTTTTCAGAGATTAACTGTGCATTTATAAGAATATGAAACTTAAAACTTTTTTTAAACGTATGAAGGATTCTGCTTTGGAGGAGCTGAAAGAAAGAAAAAAAGTATACAGGAAAAACAGGTTAATTGTAAGGAAAAAACAGAAAATTGTACAAGAGAGCTGGATTCCTCATCACAATTTAATTTATTTTTTGAGACACAGTCTTGCTCTGGCACCTGGGCTAGAATGCAGTGGGGCAATAATCATAGCTCAGTTTAGCCTCTACCTCTTGGGCTCAAGTGCTTCTCTTGCCTCAGCCTCCAAGGAGCTGAGCTGAGCTGGGACTACAGGCATGCACCACCACACCCAGCTAATTTTTCTTTTCTTTTTTTTTTTTTGTTGAGACAGAGTTTCACTCTTGTTGCCCAGGCTGGAGTGCATTGCAACCTCTGCCTCCTAGGTTCAAGCAATTCACCCGCCTCAGCCTTCCAAACTGTTGGATTATAGGCATGAGCCACCACACCCGGCCTTTTTCTGTATTTTTTGTAGAGATGAGGGTCTTGCTTTGTTTGCCAGGCTGGTCTCAAATGCCTAGGCTTAAGTGATCCTCCCACCTTGGCCTTCGAAAGTGTTGGGATTACAGGAATAAGTCTCTGTGCCTAGCCCCTCATCATGTATTAACTCCCTAGTATGAAAGAAAATTAGTTTTTAGAACGATGGGGGTAAATATCAGAATAAATAGCTAAAAGCGATGAAAGTGGTTGTTGTAGGTGGCCTGCCATGGCTAGGATATTGCTGTAGTACATATTCTTGAACATATGTGTATATAATGTTTCAATAGAAATAACAATTTAAAAAGGGAAGAAGCAGAAAATATAGATGATCAAATTGAAATAGGGCTGGGCATGGTGGCTCACACCTGTAATCCCAGCACTTTGGGAGGCCAAGGCAGGCGGATCACCTGAGGATAGGAGTTGGAGACCAGCCTGGCCAGCATGGTGAAACCCTGTCTCTACTAAAAAATATACAAAATTAGCCGGGTGTGGTGTCAGGCACCTGTAATCCCAGCTACTCAGGAAGCTGAGGCAGGAGAATTGTTTGAACCCAGGAGGTGGAGGTTGCAGTGAGCCGAAATTGCGCCATTGCACTTCCAGCCTGGGCAACAGTGAGACTCCATCTCAAAAAAAGAAAAGAAAAAGGAAAAAGAAATAAATAATTGCCTAGTAGTACACCTCCAAATATAACAATTAACATTTTCTTTCTTTTCTTTCTTTCTTTTCTTTTTTGAAAGAGTCTTGCTCAGTTGCCCAGGCTGGAGTGTAATTGTGCCATCTCAACTCACTGAAAACTCTGCTTCCTGGGTTCAAGTGATTCTTGTGCCTCAGCCTCCTAAGTAGCTGGGATTATAGGCATGTGCCACCACACCCAGCTAAGTTTTGTGTTTTTAGTAGAGATGGGGTTTCTAACTTCTGGACTCAAGTGATCCACCCATCTCAGCCTCCCAAATTGCTGGGATTACAGGCGTGAGCCACTGCATCTGGCTTCTTCCATTTTTGCTATGCCTTTTTTTGAACTTTTCAGAAAAATTGAAAGAATATTACAGGAAACACCTGTAATCTGCCACACAGATCCAATAATTGTTAGCATTTTTGCCATATTTGTTCTGTGTATACTTAATGTGTGTGTGCATTATAGGATTTTTTTTTTTTTTTGCTGAATCACTTGAAAATGAGTTACAGATACGACAGTTCACCTCTAACTACAACTATTAGCTAACTGCTACTAATATGCATCTTCTGTGATAAGGACAGTGTTCTACATTACCACAACACCATTATCGCATAATTTAATAAATTAAAGGCCCGGTGCAGTGACTCACACCTGTAGTCCCAGCACTTTGGGAGGCCAAGGCGGGTGGATTGCTTGAGGCTAGGAGTTTGAGACCAACATGGTGAAACCCTGTCTCTTCTAAAATTAGCCGGGCGTGATGATGCATGCCTGTTGTAATCCCGGCTGCTTGGGAGGCTGTGGCACGAGAATCACTTGAATTTGGGAGGCAGAGTTGGCAGTGAGCTGAGATCATGTCACTGCACTCCAGCCTGTGTGATAGAGCAAGACCTTGTCTCAAAAAAAAAAAAAAAAAGAATTTCCTAGTGTCATTTAATATTCAAGTCATATTTTAAGTTTCTTCGACTCACCCCAAAATGCCTCTTATAGTTGGAATTTTTTCTTATGTTCTTTGTTTTTGTTTTTTTTTTTTGAACCAAGATCCAGCCAGTTTGTGCATTATTAGAACTGAATGAGAAGGAAATAAAAAAACAACAAAGAAACTGAAGTTTGTGCATTTGGTTGTTATGTCTCTTTAGTCCTTTTTAATCTAGAATAGGCTTCCACATTTTTACCTGTGGCATTGAATGACATTGGATTTTTTTTTTTTTTTTTTTTTTTTTTGAGACGGAGTTTCGCTTTTGTTACCCAGGCTGGAGTGCAATGGCGCGATCTCGGCTCACCGCAACCTCCGCCCCCTGGGTTCAGGCAATTCTCCTGCCTCGGCCTCCTGAGTAGCTGGGATTACAGGCACACGCCACCGTGCCCAGCTAATTTTTTTTTGTAGTTTTTAGTAGAGACAGGGTTTCACCATGTTGACCAGGTTGGTCTCGATCTGCCGACCTCGTGATCCACCCGCCTCGGCCTCCCAAAGTGCTGGGACTACAGGCTTGAGCCACCGCACCCGGCCAACATTGGATTTTTGAAGAGACTAGGACAGTTGTGTAAAATGTCCACAAACAAATCTTAAAACAACAAAAGTGACCAGGCACAGTGGCTCACACCTGTAATTCCAGCCCTTTGGGAGGCTGAGATGGGCGGATTGCTTGAGCTCAGGAGTTCGTGATCAGCCTGGGCAGCATGGCGAAACCTCATGTCTACAAAACATACAAAAATGACCACGTCTGGCTACTTAGGAGGCTGAGGTGAGAGGATTGCTTGAGCCCAAGAGTTGGAGGCTGCAGTGAGCTGTGATCACACCACTGCGCTCCAGCCTGGATGACACATTAAGACCCTAGTAAGACCTTCTGAAATTTTTGTTGTTTTTTCACTTTTTATTACTAATGTTTTGTTGGGTCCATAGTTTCAGTCCTGGGGTTTAAGTTTCTCCGTAATTGGACCTTAATGTGCTTTTCAGGTTTCTCCCAGTCCTTTCCAGTACCAGCTTTTTTCATTCCTTCAGCTCTTTGCCTTGGTGTCCAGTCATCCTCTCTGCTTTTTCCAGCATTGGCCCAAAACAGCTCACTTTATTTCTTATCTGATTTTTTAATTTTTTTTTTTTTTGCCTTTTTCCACATGTTCTGAATTTTGTTTATTTGAAATTGAAATGGCTTCAGGTGTTTTATCTGTTTATTCAAGTCACAGAATTTTCGAATTTGTGGAGTCCTGGAAATTTAGTAACAGAAGGCCAACCCTCAAGTCTTGACTATGTGACTGATAAGTTGTAGGACTTAGTGAAGTCTCCTCTTTTTGAGACAATTTCCTTATCTGTAAAATGAGAGGGTAGAGTTATACGTCATTGCCTATCCCATGATTATCAAAGGATAAGTATGGCCAAAAAATAATAGAGGGCTGGGTGACGTGGCTCATGCCTGTAATCCCAGCACTTTGGAAGTCGGAGGTGGGCGGATCATTTGAGATCAGGAGTTCAAGACCAGCCTGACCAACATGGTGAAACCCCATCTCTACTAAAAATACAAAAAAATAGCTGGGCATGATGGCGCATCCCTGTAGTCCCAACTACTCAGGAGGCTGAGGCAGGAGAATCACTTGAACCCAGGAGGTGGAGGTTGCAGTGAGCTGAGATGGCACCACTGCTCTCCAGCCTGGGTGACAGAGTGAGACTCCATCTCAAAAAAAGAAAAAGAAAAGTAATAAAGGAGTTCAGAAGCAGAGTTAGATTACTGTTGGCTGGTAGGTAGCATGGCTGTGATTAAATTTAAACTGAATGATTATGGAGCCCAAATGAAATAACTTGTGTGAAAAGTTCTTAAAATAATAAGGTATTATATAAATGTAACTGATGTTTTACCAAACAAAATGGAGCAGAATGCTTTGGGTGAAAGAAGGGGGACTGTTTTGATATGCTGATGGCATAATTATTATAAAGAATGTCTCAGAACTTTAGTTTTCCTATTAGTACTGCTTGAAGCTTTCAAACAGATAAGGCTCTCAATTGCTTTTCTAAGTGGAGATAATGGTGGATCTGATCTCTTCTCCTTTGTTCTTGCAGCTCTATTACCAAGTCCTAAATTTTGGAATGATTGTCTCATCGGCACTAATGATCTGGAAGGGATTAATGGTAATAACTGGAAGTGAAAGTCCAATTGTAGTGGTGCTCAGGTAACAGTTTTTCTTTTCAAGACATGGAATTTCATGGTATTACTTGGAAGAAAAATTGAGATACAGAATAACTGGTATATCATCCCCTTCGAAACTACTCTTTTCCAGAAAAGGGCCTGGAAGAATAGTCCGTACTTCTCAATTGTAAGAAATTCTCAGGCTGGATGTGGTAGCTTATGCCTCTCATCTCAGCATTTCAGGAGGCTGAGGCAGACGGATCACTTGAGCTCTGGAATTTGAGACTAGCTTGGACAATGTGGTGAAACCCTGTCTCCACAAAAAATACAAAAACTAGCGGTGTGGTAGCATGGACCTGTAGCCTTAGGTACTCAGGAGGCTAAGTGGGAGGATTGCCTGAGCCCTAGAGGTTGAGGCCTGCAGTGAGTTGTGATTGACCACTGCACTCCAGCCTGGGCAACAGAGCAAGACTCTGTCTCCAAAAAGAAAAAAGAAATTCTCACTTTGTTAGGCATTTCCATTCAGAACCCCAAAGGGTTAATGACCTTTCTACAAAAACGTTACCATGTGAGAATTGTTTCTGGCACATCCCTTAAGAAGTTATCTCATTGTACTTTATTTTCCTGAAATTCTTCTGTCTTTTTATATTCCTTACTTTGATACACCACGCCTGATATTTAGTTGTTAGTTCATTAGATGTTATAGTACTTCCACAAATTAAGAATTTTTCTGCAGCATGTTCTCAATGTCAGTACAGAAGCATCACTAATTATTTCCAAGTTTCCTGCTGACCTTTAAATATCACTTCTAAACTAGGCTCCAGGAATTTTGGAGGCATACCACCTCTTACGGTGACAACTAGTACTGAATTTCTTTTCTCTACTGTGCTTCCTTCCCTATCCTTTGCACTCATACTCTTAGTGAATATTTTTGACAGGCTCTTGCTCTGTCGCCCAGGATAGCGTGCAGTGGCATATTCATAACTCACTGCAGCCTCCACCTACTGGTCTCAAGGGATCCTTCCATTTTAGCCTCCCGAGCAGCTGGGACTGCAGGGCTGCACCACCACGCCTGGGTAATTTTTTAAATTTTTTTGTAGAGACGGTATATTCGTCCATTTTCATGCTGCTGATAAAGACATACCCGAGACTGGGCAGTTTACAAAAGAAAGAAGTTTAATGAACTTACAGTTCCACATGACTGGGCAGGCCCCAAAATCATGGTAGAAGGTGAAAGGCATGTCTCACATGGGAGCAGACAAGAGACGATAGCTTGTGCAGGAAAACTTTCCTTTTTAGAACCACCAGATCTTGTGAGACTTATTCACTATCACAAGAACAGCACAGGAAAGATCCACCCCCATGATTCAATTACCTCCCACACATGTGGGAACTCAAGATGAGATTTAGGTGGGGACACAGCCAAACCATATCAGAGAGGCTCTCACTATGTTGCCCAGGCTGGTCTTGAACTTCTGGGTTCAAGCAGTCCTCCCACTTTGGCCTCCCAACGTGCTAGGATTACAAGCATGAGCCACCATGCCCAGCACTCAGTGATTTTAAAACCTAATTCAGTAACTCATTTTTGGAGAATTGCCGCTTGACTGTTTAGTTGAAACATTATAGGCCGGGCATGGTGGCTCACGCCTGTAATCCCAGCACTTTGGGAGGACAAGGCGGGCAGATCACTTAAGGCCAGGAGTTCGAGACCAGCCTGGCCAACATGGTGAAATCCTGTCTCTACTAAAAATACAAAAATTAGCTGGGCGTGGTGAGAGGTGCCTATAGTCCCAGCTACTTGGTAGGCTGAGGTAGAAGAAGCGCTTGAACCTGGGAGGTGGAGGTAGTAGTGAGATTGCGCCATTGCACTCCATCCTGGGTGATAAGCGAAACTTCTCTCAAAAAAAAAAAAAGAAGAAACATTATAGTTCTGTCATATTTTGGGCTTAATTTGTAAGCCCAAATCCTTTCTGGAGATAATGGAGTGCAGATTTAAAATAAATTGAATTATGAACATTATCTGGAATCTAAGTAATAGTACTTAGATTACTCTTTTTTAACTAAGTTATTGAGATGTGATTGACATACAGAAAGCTGTACATATTTAATGTATACAACCTGATTAATTTGGAGGTAAGTATATTCCTCTGAAACTGTCACCACAATCAAGTAAATGAATATATTTATCACTTTTGAAAGTTTCTTCCCTCTCTATTTTTTTGTGATAAGAACATTTAAACCAGGGCCTCCCTTCATCGCCTAAACTGGAGTGTGCCATCACAACTTGCTAATTTTTTATTTTTTTACAGAGACTGAATCTTGAATTCCTGATCTCAAGTGATCCTCCTACCTTAACCTCCCACATCCTGGGATGACAGGCTTGAGCCACCATGCCCAGCTCCCTGTTTCTTTCCTTTTCTTTTCTTTTATAGAAAGGCAGGGGAATGTGATGCCTGTGCTGCTGAATACTCATTTATTTTATTCATTTATTCATTTCTTTTCTCTCTCTTTTTATTTTTTTGAGACAGGGCCTCACTCTGTTGTCCAGGCTGTAGTACACCTAGCTATTTTTTTTTCCTTTCTTTTTTTTTTTTTTTTTTTTTGAGATGGAGTTTCGCTCTTGTTGCTCAGGCTGGAATGCAATGGTGCTATCTTGGCTCACTGCAACCTCCACCTCCCGGGTTCAAGTGGTTTCCTGCATTAGCCTCCCAAGTAGCTGGGATTACAGGCGTGCGCCACCATGCCCAGCTAATTTTCGTATTATTAGTTGAGACTGGGTTTCACCATGTTGGCCAGGCTGGTCTCGAACGCTTGATTTCAGGTGACCTGCCCACCTTGGCCTCCCAAAGTGCTGGGATTACAGGTGTGAGCTGCAGGCTGAGATTTTTTAAAAAGTTCCTTAGGTCATTCCAGTGTGCAGCATTGAGAACCACTGCCATATCCCTTTAGAGGGAGGAAAGTCTTTTAACAAAAGTGTTTAGATTTTGTCCTTATTCCCGCATTGAATTTTTATTTCCTGTCTTTCTATTCTTATCTAAGCAGTTGCTATTGAAAACTGGAGCTTGAGTTCCTGAAAAATACTGATGGGCTACTTCTTTGTAGATAAAAAGGGTTTATAAATTAGTACAAATAACTTAGGACCTTTTTAGGACTTGGCGTAGGATAGAAGAAGTAAGAGGTAAGAAGATACTCGGTAAAAGTTAGTCTCACATTACCATAAAATTAAATCTTTTCCTGGCTTCTGAAATTCTTAGGCAAAAATCTCTGCTTATTCCTTGGTTTTCTTTTTTTCTCTTTTTAAAGTAAGTTAATTGATAACACAAGCGTTATCTCTGTAGCTGACAGTTCTTCTTTGACTTGATGAGCTGTTTTTCCTTTTAAATGAGTTGAACCTATAAGGTCATCTCAGCTGTTATCTTTATAAAGGGCAGAGGAAGATGATCCCATTCTTATTTGCATATTTGAATATGTTTAGTGTTTTCAGATGAAGTGAGAATAAGGGCATTATTTTTAAAGTTCATTCTCTTTTATATTCTGTCATTTGAAATTTTAAAAGGTTAAGGAATTAGTAACACTGACCTTTTCAAGATTTAAGCTTCTTTGAATAGTAATGCTTGAATTGCAACTAGTTAGTGAAGGTTAATAATTTTTTTAAACATTAATTATTTTTTTAAAATAATTTTTTTTAAGTTACTTTGGTGTAACTTTAGTCTCAGGAAACCATATTTTGAGATCAATACACATTTATTTTGATATGGTTATTAAGAGTTATTGAGTATACTCCAAAAGTGGTATTTTTAAATTTTGTTGAATATCTAATTTTGAAAGTATATTTAATCTCATACTTTCTTTTTGCTAATATATTTTTCTTTCTCTCCCAGTGGCAGCATGGAACCTGCATTTCATAGAGGAGATCTTCTCTTTCTAACAAACCGAGTTGAAGATCCCATAAGAGTGGGAGAAATTGTTGTTTTTAGGATAGAAGGAAGAGAAATTCCTATAGTTCACCGAGTCTTGAAGATTCATGAAAAGTATGTGCAAATATATCATCTTTCTTTCTAAGTACTTTTGTTTAAGTGTTTGTAGTATTTAGTTTTGATAGCCTAAAGATTGTGACAGAGTGAGGAACCTCTAGGCCCTTCATCCAGTTCATTTTTATGAATGTTTGAAAATTTGATGAACATTTTGAAAACTATAAATAATTATGTATTAGTTCATTTATTTCCCTGAAAGTTTTTCTAGAGGTTCTTCTTGGTTCCCTTTGACTTCCCAACCTGTCAGTGACTCTGTATATAATTCTAAAAAATTATAACATAAAGAGAGAACCTAAATAGAATCTTCTGGTTGGGCACAGTGGCTCACACCCACAATCCCAGTACTGTGGGAGGCCAAAGTGAGGGAATGGCTTAAGCTCAGGAGTTGGAGATCAGCCTGGGCAACATGGTGAGACTCCTTCTCTATTTTTTTAAAAAAGAAAGAAAGTGAAGGATGGGCATGGTGGCTTACATCTATAATCCCAGCGCTTTGGGAGTCTGAGGCAGGCAGAGCACCTGACGTCAGGAGTTTGAGACCAGCCTGGCCAACATGGTGAAACCCTGTCTCTACTAAAATGCAAAAAGTAGCCAGGTGTGGTGGCAGGCGCCTGTAATCCCAGCTACTCAGGGGGCTGAGGCAAGAGAATCACTTGAACCCAGGAGGTGGAGATTGCAGTGAGCTGAGATTGCACCACTGCACTCTAGGCTGCGCAACAGAGCCAGACTCAGTCTCAAAAAAAAAAAAAATTAGCTGGGCGTAGTGGCATGTGCCTGTTTGGGAGCTAATTGGGAGGCTAATGTGGGAGGATTGTGTGATCCCAGGAGTTTGAGGCTGCAGTGAGCCATGTTTGTGCCACTGCATTCCAGCCTGGACAACAGAGTGCAACCCTGGCTCAAAAAAGGAAAAAGAAAGAAATGAAAGAAAAGGGAGGCACCCTAGAGGACACATAGATGGGAAGTGGGAAGTGAAAGAGTAGGCATGATTTTGATTTTTTTTTTTTTTTTTTTTTGAGATAAGTTTCCCTCTGTTACCCAGGCTGGAATGCAATGTAGCTATCTTGGCTCACTGCAACCTCCACCTACCCGGCTTGAGCGATTCTCCTCCCTCAGCCTCCTGAGTATCTGGGATTACAGGCATGTGCCACCATGCCCAGCTAATTTTTCTATTTTCAGTAGAGACAGGGTTTTACCATGTTGCCCTGGCTGGTCTCAAACCCATGGCCTCAAGTGATCCACCCAACTTGGCCTTCTAAATTGCTGGATCACAGGCATAAATCACTGCACCTGGCAGATTTTAGTTCTTAGATTTGTGTAAGCCTTCTGTAAATAGTATTTTTACCACCCTATAAAATAGTTTTTTTCCTCCGCTTCAAGAAGAGGAAACTGTCAACCATTGCTTTTTGAAATACCTGTAAACATTCTAGAAGAATTCAGTCTTCATCAGTGAAATAAAGATATGACTGCTTTTTTAAAAAAACAAAATCCTATATTAGTATGTATGTGGAAATACTGTAATTTAAAGTAACATTATATTATTGATTGGAAAGGAATAACTTTTAAGTTTTTAGAAATTTATTTTGGGGTCGGGAGCAGTGGCTCACGTCTATAATCCCAGCACTTTGGGAGTCTGAGGTGGGCAGATCATCTGAGGTCAGGAATTCAAGACCAGCCTGGCCAACATGGTAAAACCTGTCTCTACTAAAAATATGAAAATTAGCCGGGCTTGGTGGTGGGTACCTGTAATCCCTGCTACTCAGGAGGCTGAGGCAAGAGAATCACCTGAACCTGGGAGGCTGAGGTTGCAGTGAGCCAAGATTGCACCACTGTATTCCAGCCTGGGTGACAGAGTGAGAATCTATCTCAAAAAAGAAAAAAGAAGAAATTTACCTTGGTACCTTGGAATTATAGAGGTTTATTCAGCATATACAGTGTTTTCCAGATTCTCAACGTGGATTTGTGTTGTTTCATTCTCAGCAATGGCTGTTGTGAACAAAGCTGAATATATCAGAGAGAATATATATTCTCACCAACTTTCCCCTGAATATATCAGAGAGAATCAAATTGAGCCCAGGCCTTGTTTAAGCTGGAGGAGAAATCATTTTTATTTATGATCCTTTGAAATTGAGTGAGTTTGGCTGGGCATGGTGACTCAGGCCTATAATCCCAGCCCTTTGGGAGGTTAAGGCAGGTGGAGTGCTTGAGCTCAGGAGTTCTAGACCAGCCTGGGCATCTAGACCAGATGGTGAGACCCTGTCTCTACAAAAAAAAAATAGTTGGGCACAGTGTAGTCCCAGCTACTCAGGAGGCTGAGGTAGGAGGATCACTTGAGCTCAGGAGGTTGAGGCTGCAGTCAGCCAAGATCATGCTACTTTACTCTATCCTGGGCAACAGAGTGAGACCCTATCTCAAAAACAAAAAAAGAAAGAGAAAGAAATTGAATGAGTTATAGACTTCAGTTTAAAACTTTCTGTATTGTAAGAGCAATCAGGAAAAATAAAAATGAAAATAAAATAAAACTATTTCTGGGTTCATAGACAGATAATATGTTAATTGGAAATTTCTTAAATTTTAAAAATAATTTTATACAGAATTCTGACATTTTAAGATATATGGTACTTGTAATCTGGAATGACCATTTAGGTTTTTTGGTTTTTTATGAGGCAGAGTCTCGCTCTGTCACCCAGGCTAGAGTGCAGTGGTACGATTTTGGCTCACTACAACCTCTGCCTCCTGGGTTCAAGCAGTTCTCCTGCCTCAGCCTCCTGAATAGCTGGGATTACAGGCACCCATCACCATGCCCGGCTAATTTTTGTCTTTTTAGTAGAGGCAAGGTTTCACCATGTTGGCCAGGCTGATCTTGAACTCCTGACCTCAAATGATTCACCCACCTCTGCCTCCCAAAGTGCTGTAGTCCCAAAGTGGGATTACAGGCATGAGACACCAAACCCAGCCCCATTTGGTTTAATAGTATTAACATTGCTCTTAAATATGGGGCCCGATAATATTCAAAATGTATGTATTTTAGCAAGTTCATCCTATAGGATGTGTATTAGTCTATTCTCATGCTGCTAATAAAGACATACCCAAGACTGGATAATTTATAAAGGAAGGAGGTTTAATGGACTCACAGTTCCACATGGCTGGAGAGGCCTCACAATCAGAAGGCAAAGAAGCAAAGGCATGTCTTACGTGTCGGCAGGCAAGAGAGCATGTGCAGGGGAACTCCCATTTATAAAGCCATCATATCTAATGAGACTTACTTACTATCATGAGAACGGCTTGGGAAAGACCTGCCCCCGTGACTCCACTACCTCCCACTGGGTTCTTCCCACGACACATGGGAATTACGGGAGCTACAGTTCATGATGAGATTTGGATAGGGACACAGCCAAACCATATCAGGAGGTATTATAATTTGACGATATACTCTGACATGTGATTAAGTATTTGGAAAGAGAAATTTTACCACTGGATGACTTAATCCTTAGCTTTGCTTCTCCCATGCAGATGGATACCTTATTCTGTACCCATTTAGCTTTTCGGGTCTTTTTTTTTTTTAAGACGGAGTCTCAGTTTGTCGCCCAGGCTGGAGTGCAGTGGCACAAACTAGGCTCACTGCAATCTCTGCCTCCTGGGTTCAAGCAATTCTCCTGCCTCAGCCTCCCAAGTAGCTAGGATTACAGGTGTGTGCCACCATACCGAGCTAATTTTTGTATTTTTGGTAGAGACGGGGTTTCACCATGTTGGCCAGGGTGGTCTCGAACTCCTGACTTTGTAATCCGCCTGCCTCGGCCTCCCAAAGTGCTGAGATTATAGGTGTGAGCCACCATGCCCAGCTGGGGTTTTATTTTTTCTTAATAGGTCTAATAAGGGCAGGCGGGGGTTGGCTCATGCCCATAAACCCAGCACTTTGGGAGGCCAAGGCATGCAGATTAACTGAGGTCAGGAGTTCTATACCAGCCTGAACAACACAGTGAAAACCCATCTCTACCAATAATACAAAAATTAGCCAGCATGTTGGTGCACGCCTTTAATCCCAGCTGCTCTGGAGGCTGAGGCAGGAGAATGGTTTGAATCCAGGAGGTGGAGGTTGCAGTGAGCTGAGATCACGCCATTGCTCTCTAGCCTGGTTAACAAGAGGAAAACTTGGTCTCAAAAAAATTAAAACATAAGTCTAAAAGAACTGGTTGCCATCAGAGAATATTTGTTCCACCATTAAGTAGATGAAGGATATCTATGCTTTTTCAAAAAAGCTCTAGTAGTGTCTCCTGATTACATCCCAGAAGGGGAAATTGGGTGTGTTAATATGTTTGTTTGTTTTGCCGGCAAATCAAGTCTTTGAGAATAGCCCAGAGACTTCTTTCTCTGGGGAGTTCCCCATTTCCTAGGTTTTCTCTCATATCTGATTTGCCTTTTCTGCATGTGTGGAGTTGATACTGTTGACTGGGTTGAATTCACTTTTCCTTCCTACTGCTCCTGACTTTCACTCTTGCAGCGAGCCCCTCCTAGCACCTGTCCTCTGTTACCCTTCAGGATTTTTCTGTTTCTCTTACTGAATTGTCAACTACAGATTATTTTTCTCTGCATATATTTGCATTTTTTTCTAACTGGAATCTTATTTTTAATGTGACTGTTTGCACTTAACCGTCTTTGGTGTTTGCAACACCTCCCAATTTAGTTTTCTCTGCAGATTTAGCACTAATGAGCCAGTTTCTGATTTAGAATCTAAGTGGATATTAGCCTTTAGAAATCTGAAGCTAATTTTCTTCTTTCTACTACAGTGGTCAATCCGAATGCACATGAATTAATTTTCAGCTAGTCTTTATCAACTGTAAAATACACATTTGCTTTCAGTTAAAGTTTAAAATTACTACAAACTTTATGGTTCTTTAGTAGAATTAAACTAATAATTTTTCGGATCAAGCAAATGCTGTTTTTGTAAACCCTGGCATGTCTGAAGAATTGAGGTATTTCTTCTTTTAAAACTAACATTTTTTCCTAATATAAAAGTAATACATGTTTGTTGGAGAAAAAAAGTAAGAAGATAAAGGTAATCTAAAGAAAGCTATGGACAGCCACTGCTTATCCATTGGTCTTTTTATCCATTGGTCTATATTATTTTAGGTATTGTCTAATACCTTTTTTTTTTTTTGCTTTTATTTTCTGAATTTGGTGAGTTTCTGACATGCAGAGAAGAATATAAGGAACCCCGGTGTATCTATCACCCCATCCCACTGATGATTAATATGTAGCCAATTCTGCTCCATCTCTACTCCCACCTTTTCCCCTCTCCTGTGTTATTATTACTTGTTATTCAAGACAGTGTCTCACTATCGCCAAGGCTAGACTGCAGCCTCAATCTCCCTGGGCTCAGGTGATTCTCTCACCTCAGCTGGGACCACAGACACATGTCATCACACCCGGCTAATTTTTTTTGTATTTTTTGTTTTGTTCTGTATTTTTTTGTGTTGCCATGTTGCCCAGGCTGGTCTTGAGCTCCTAAGCTCAAGTGATCCACCCACCTTGACCTCCCGAAGTGCTGGGATTACAGGAATGAGCCATTGCACCTGGCCAAACAATTCTTTAGTGTCATCAAGTTTTTGACATTTGTTCAAATCCCCAGTTGTGTTATAACTTTCTTAAACAATTTGTTTGAAACTTGACCCAGATAAAGTCCTCAGCTACAATTGGTTGACGTGGCTTTATAGTCTCTTGTTTAATCTGTAATTATTTCCCTAACTTTTCTTCATTTCTTGCAAGTCATTGGTTGGAGAAATTTGGTTATTCTGTAGTTTCCCATAGTCTGTATCTTGCCAATTATATCCTGTGAGCTAGTTTATTGTATTCCTTTGCCCTTTGTATTTCTAGAAAATTGGTAGTGTGTATATATTTTAATATAAAAATGAGATTGTACTGTACATGCTATTTTGTATTCTTTTCTTCATTTAATAAAATTTATACAATCTTGTCATTATTCTTCTATACCATTATTTTAATGCTTACATAATATTTGAACTCCTTAGTAGGAGTTGGATTTTTAGTTGGTTATAAACAACACAGCTATTAACATTCTTGTAGCTCCATAAATAATTATTTTGACACAAGAATGGTTTTAAGATACACCAGTTCCACAAACATTTTTGGTTAATAAGAACAGATTTTGTGCTTTAAATGCCATGAAAGTATTTGATGACTTGGATTTCATTTATTCTTTTAAGGCAAAATGGACATATCAAGTTTTTGACCAAAGGCGATAATAATGCAGTTGATGACCGAGGCCTCTATAAACAAGGACAACATTGGCTAGAGAAAAAAGATGTGGTGGGGAGAGCCAGGGGGTAAGTATAGCAGGGAGCATCTCAAACTTTTTATGTCACTTGAAGCGTGGCACTCTCAATTATATTGTTTGATCATATACAGTTGAATGTAGAGATTTGGTTCTGGTTCCACCAAATGACTCTTGTGTCCTTTGAAAATTGTTAAAAAGTATCTAAAACTTCAGGTATACTACTCCAGAGGTGAGGAACTGGGGTGCAATAAAAGAATTGAATACTAGTGATGAGATGGTGAATTGGATGTGACAGTTTAAAAAAATGTGTTCACTTGGATGGGCACTTTGGCTCATGCCTGTAATCCCATCACTTTGGGAGGCTGAGGCAGGCAGATCATCCTGGCTAACATGGTGAAACACCATCTCTACTAAAAATATAAAGAATTAGCCGGGTGTGGTGGCGCTTGCTTGTAGTCCCAGCTACTCAGGAGGCTGAGGCAGGAGAGGTGCTTGAACGGAGGAGGCAGAGGTTGTAGTGAGCCGAGATTGCACCACTGCCTCCAGCCTCAAAAAAAAAAAGTGTGTTCACTTATTTGGTTCACTCAAGAAATATTGGGCACCTTCCATGTGCTCTGATGTCTATACTGTGCTAGGCTCTGGGGGTCTAGAGCACTATCAGCGCTGTATCAGTCTTGCTTTATGAAACTTACATTTCTTTTTTTTTTTTTTTTTTTTTTTTTTGAGACAGAGTCTTGCTCTGCCACCCGGGAGGCTGGAGTGCAATGGCACGATCTCTGCTCACTGCAACCTCCGTCTCCTGAGTTCAAGCGATTCTGCTGCCTCAGCCTTTCAAGTAGTGGGTTTACAGGAGCCTGCCACCATGCCTGGCTAATTTTTGTATTTTTTAGTAGAGACAGGGTTTCACCAGAAACTTACATTTCTTAAGAATTACTGAGTCAACAACTTAAAGTGTTCATCTAAATTAGTTTTATAATATTAATTTAATCCATAATATTTCTAGTCTTGAAATCGATGAGGTAAAATGAAATTAAAAAGTTATATTAAGCCTGTTTGTTTCAGATTTTATCAGGAGAACAGATCAGTGGAGGACAGGAATTGTAAGTTGTTGGAATTAAGGAAGTATGGCATTGTTGCTCCCTTAATGTTATTAATAGTATTAACAATAACTTACATTTATTAGGGCTTATTGTGTACCAGGGACTCATTTTAAGTACTTTACAAGTATTACCACATTTTAACCTCAGAACAACCCTAATATTCCCATTCTACAGATGAGGAAACAAATGAGTTAGGTTGTGTATCTAAGATTATACTGATGATCATAAGTGGCTGGCTGCGTAGTCCACCTTAACCATCATAGAAAAATTACTAGCATAACATTTCTGAAATGGATAGTTGCTAATTCTCACTATTTAGATGCTACATGGCACTCCTGCCAATGTCAGAACCTCTGCTCCTTTTGACCTAGGACAGACGATGGATATAGAGTTACTATACCAGTGAGCAGGCCTGAGAAACACAGTTTCCATAGAGAAGGAAGTACGAGTTACTAAGTGAAACCTGCCTCGGTTACAGCATGGGAGGTGCTCAGTTTGGGGCCCAAAAGATCAGATCAGAACCAGTATCATTGTGCTTTGTCTGCTGCAGAGTTGGTTTTTTTTTTTCTTATATGTCCCCACTTTAAGGGAACTTTTCCTGTGATAGATCTGAAAATACTTTTATAATCCAAATTAGGTCATCAGTTCTTCTGAGAAATAATAGTCCCCATCTTCCTCAGTTCCCAAGATGCTGCTAATGTGGTTATTTAAACTTACCAATCTCTTTGAGTCTTTTTGGTTTTCCTCAAATTATAAATGTACAAATTTATGTAGAAACATAAGGAAATACCAATAATCAAAAAGCAAAGTAACTTGTCTCCTTTTTCTTGCTCTCCACAAATATTTACTATTAACTTTTGGTTTACATTCTATTAGCCTTTATGTGTAGAGATAAAAATATTAGTATGTACTTTTTTTGCCTTTTTTTTTTTTTTTGAGACAGAGCCTTGCTCTGTCACCCAGGCTAGAGTAACAGTGGCATGATCTCGGCTCACTGCAACCTCCGCCTCCTGGGTTTAAGAGATTCTGTGCCTCAGCCTCCAGAGTAGCTGGGATTACAGGTGTGTGTCACCATGCCCAGCTAATTTTTTGCATTTTTAGTAGAGATGGAGTCTTGATATGTTGGCCAGGCTGGTTTCAAATTCCCAGCTTCAAGTGATCCACCCATCTTGGCCTCTCAAAGTGCTTGGATTACAGACATGAACCACTGCACCTGACCCTAGTATGTACATATTTATAAAAACATAAACTCATTTTGTGTATGAAAGGAGAATGGTCACCCTATCTTTTAACCCCTTTTTTACCCAAAAAATTACTAGTATATTTACAAATCAATATATTTATCTTCATATCATCATTTGCAAAGCCGTGTGCTATTCCACTGTATGAAAAGACCATATAGTCTACCCTATGGATAGACCATGTAGATTTTATTCAGTCTCCTGTTATTAGGTATTCTGATTGTTTCCAGATTTTTTATTGTGAACAATGTTATGATAAATACCCTTGTTATGTATATGTCAACACGTCTACCCAATCATTCTTCAGAGCAAATTCCTAGAAGTGGAATTACTGGGTGAAGGATACTCATATGTTAAGGATTTTGACAAATTTTGCCAAGCCTATTTTAATTATACTCCTGATAGTATAACTGAGTGTTCCTTTACCCGAGTCTTGATTCTTTTTTTTTTTTGAGGCAGAGTCTTACTCTTTTGCCCAGGCTGGAGGATCTTGCTCTGTTGCCCAGACTGGAATGCAGTAGAGCAATCTTGTCTCATTGCAGCCTCCACCTCCCAGGTTCAAATGATTCTCATGTTTCAGCCACCTGAGTGAGCTGGAATCAGAGGTGCATGTCACCACTCCTGCCTAATTTTTATATTTTTAATAGAAACAGGGTTTTGCCATGTTGGCCAGGCTGGTTTAGAACCCCTGGCTTCAAGTGACCTTCCTACTTCAGCCTCTTAAAGTGCTGGGATTACAGGTGTGAGCCACTGCACCCAGCCTGGGTCTTGATTTTTAAGTGTTTACTACAGCTCTGTCTATTCACTCTGGCCCTTTGATTGGGTAAAAGATTCATTATCTATGAAAGATTAGGGGAGCTGTGCTTTCACTAAAATAACTTGTCTCCTGGAAAATTTCTGAAAGAGTCCACACTATTTAATGCTTTTTTTTTTTTTTTTTTTTTTTTTTTGAGACAGAGTCTCTGTTGCCCAGACTGGAGTGCAGTGGCACGATCTTGGCTCCCTGCAACCTCTGCCTCCCTGGTTCAAGCGATTCTCCTGCCTCAGCCTCCCAAGTAGCTGGGATTACAGGCATGCACACCACACCCAGCCAATTTTTGTATCTTTAGTAGAGACAGGGTTTCACCATGTTGGTCAGGCAGGTCTCAAACTCCTGACCTTGTGATCCACCCGCCTCAGCCTCCCACAGTGCTGGGATTACAGGCATGAGCCACCACGCCCAGCCCTTTAATGCTATTTTTAAAATCCCAACATTGAAAATAGAGACCATTTTGGGCTTTTAATTAAAAATGTAATAGTCTGATACTCTGTGTTAAGAAGGTTTCCGTATAAATAAACAACTGAGACATGAACAGCAGGAGCACAGAATCATAACTATATAAATTTACTTTCCATTACTTGTACCTCTACTGAGCTTGACACATAATGGAACTTATCACTTTCTTTTGTGGGAACTGTGTTCATAAGACACTAAACTGGTATTTCAAAGTCAGGCTGTACCCAAACTTTGAGAATGGAGCTTTTCCACAGGCAAGTCTGTTACTGTAGTACAAATGTCTTTATGCTTTTTTTTCCTTGAGACAGAGTCTCACTCTGTCACCCAGGCTGGAGTGCAGTGGCACAATCATGGCTCACTGCAACCTCCACCTCACAGGCCCAAGCAATTCTCCCACCTCAGCCTTCTGAGTAGCTAGGACCACAGATGTATGCCATCACAGCTGGCTAATTTTTAAAATTTTTGTAGAGATAGGTTCTCCCTATGTTGCCCAGGCTGGTCTCGAACTCATGGGCTAAAGTGATCCTCCTGCCTTGGCACCCAAAGTACTGAGATTATAGGCATGAACCACCCAGCCCAGCACCTTCATGTATTTGTTAAATTTTTTTGTAGGGACGGGGGTCTCCCTATGTTGCCCAGGCTGCTCTTGAACTCCTGGGCTCAAGCAGTCCTCCCAACTTGGCCTCCCAAAGTCCTGGGATTACAAGTGTGAGCCACTCTGCCTAGCCCACTGTGCCTGGCCTCCTTTATGCCTTTAAAAAAAATTTTTTTTTTTTTTTTTTTTTGAGACAGGGTTTTACTACTCTTGTAGCCCAGGCTGGAGTACAGTGGTGCGATCTCAGCTCACTGCAACCTCCGCCTCCCAGGTTCGAGCAGTCCTCCTGCCTCAGCCTCCCAATTAGCTGGGATTACACCATGCATGTGCCACCATGCCTGGCTAATTTTTTGTATTTTTAGTAGAGACAGAGTTTCACCATGTTAGTCTGGTCTCCTTTTTTTTTTTTTTTTATTTAACAGCTGCACACTAAAACAATTTTACATTGAGGCCTAAGGCTCTATTTTAAAATAATTTAAATTTTCTTATTGATATATAATTTACATATATTAGAATATAAAATTCACCATCTTAAACAGTACAATTCAGTGGGTTTCAGTATATTCACAAGATTGTGCAATCATCGCCACTATCTAATTCCAGAACATTTCTATCACCCCAAAAATAAAACTCTGTACTCATTAACAGTCACTCCCCATCCCCTACTTCCTGTAGCCCATGACAGCCACTAATCTGCTTTCTGTCTTTGTGGATTTGCCTGTTCTGGACTTTTCATATAAGCAGAAGTGTGTCTGGCTTCTTTCACCTAGCATAATGTGTTTAAGGCTTATTCATGTTGTAGCATGGAATAAAAACAATTTTAGAAAACGAAACTAATACTGAACCAATTAAGTATTCAAGAAGTGATTTCTTTCTAAATTCAGGAAGCTGAAAAACTCAAGTGCACCCATTAGTCAAGAAGGAATAGAAAGCAACAGGAGAAAAAGAAAGACTGGCAGAGGACTGGGGAACAGAAATGCTGACTATGGAAGGAGTAGAGTAGTTGAGCTCTCTGTTGACTGAAATCAGTTTTATGGCTAAGACTTCTTGAATCTACTTTTTACTTAATTTGAAACAAGTCATTCTAGAAACAAGATGATTACTTTCTGGTCATTACATATTCTCTTACTCTCTCATTTAGTTGGCTGCTGGATTCCAGACTTCCCGGTATAAACCCCTTTTGACATTTGACAAAATCGTGCTGGGGTCTCTTCTTAATTGTTGTGGTATCTTTTCTTTACTCTTCGTTTGGCCTCTTGCCTAATGATCTCTATGAGCATCAGGAGATAGTGCTTTCTTCTGAGCCTACTTCCTCACCAGTACCATTCATCCCAAGAATTCCCAGGGAAATGTATTTAACCACATGAAATGCATCTTACGTTCTAGATATTAACTTGGCACAGGCTGGTGTTGGAGTTGGCTTTGTGGATGGCATTCATTTCACTTATTTTAAACCTCCTGCTTTTTAGCGACTCTGCTTTAGCCTGAGTTTATCTGCGCAAAATAGGCAAAAGTGCAAATGGTTTGAATTTAGTATGATGATAGCAGCATTATGCACTTGATTATCAACTCTTTGCTTATTTCTGTCCATGGAGGGTAACAGTACTACAGACACTTAAATCTTTCATTTGACTTTGGACTGCCTCGTCATATTCTGGCATCCTTAGGTCTTGCCTATAATACTTCCAAAGACCAAGTTGCTTTCATTTCACTTAGAGTGGGCAAAGCAAAGCCAACCTTAAAAAGTTTTGGGTTGTATGTGGTGTTTCACACCTGTAATCTCAGCACTTGAAGAGGCCAAGGTGGGAGAACAGCTTGAGCCCAGGAGTTGAGACCAGCCTGAGCAATGTAGTGAGATGCTATCTCTACAAAAAAAAAAATTTTAATTAGCCAGGCATGGTGACATGCACTTGTAATCCCAACTACTTGGGAACCTCAGGTGGGAGGATTGCTTGAGCCCAGGAATTCAAGGCTGTAGTGAGCTATGATCACACCACTGCATTCCAGCTTGGGTGCCAGAGTGAGACCATGTCTCAAAAAAAAAAAAAAAAATTCATGAATTATTTATTCACAAGCAGCCTATGGGCTTGCTGGGAGCCAAGGATTGTGGTTCTTCAGGCATAGATATCATTGCATGGAGGTAGCAAAGTCTCTGTGTATGTATGAGAATGGCTGCGTACTGATCATCCAATCAGAATTAGCAGCTAAATGTTTCAGTAGAAACCACAGATGCTTTTATAGCTCTTAATCTGCACTTTACTGTGAGGCATTTGCCATTATGTTCTTAAATTAGGTGATTTACTTTCACTGAAAGCTATTGCTTTTATGGGAGTGTTAAAAATGAGACAAAAGAAATAGCATTAAAAAGTTATTGCATTTAAAAGGAAAAATTATATATATAATAAAGATATAGAAAATCTTTGTCCATCCTCTTAGAGCTTAGCCATGCCATTCTTTAACGACTGTTAGTTTTCAGCTCTTCAAGATCCCAGGGGTTGATACTAAAGCATGAACCCTGAGGAGGGATTTTATTTGCCATCACATACCTATATGTGCTTCTCACACTAAAATCGTGCTTCTTGGATTTTCATATTTTGGGCTCCACCTTTCAGAAATTCCCTGACTTAGTCAATCTGGGAAAGATATAAGAATCTGGCTGTGCTTGCTTTGTCTCCCCAACTAGATTGGCAGCCTCCTGAAGGTTATGATGATAAACCTAACCCCTAGCACTGTATGAACATATAGCGTTAGAGTCACTAACTGGAGATCTAAGACCTTGGAGTTATCTGGTGCTGGTTCTGCCACATGGAAGCCATGTGCCTTGGGCATGATCATCTGTTTCCTCATCTCTAAAATGGTGATATTCCTAACTTTCCTATCACTTGGGCTTTCAAAAGGATCAAATAGGGCAGTATATAGAAATGGACTTTGTGAACTGAAAAGTTAGTATTCTATAGAAAAGACTGAATGGCAACAGCTGCTTTACATAGGAAATTCTGTGATAATCAGTTTCTTGTTTGTTCTAGATTTGTTCCTTACATTGGAATTGTGACGATCCTCATGAATGACTATCCTAAATTTAAGGTAAGGGCCTATATTGTATGTTTTGTTAAAAATGTGATCTTTTGGGCTATACGTGGTGGCTCACACCTGTAATTTCAGCACTCTGGGAGGCTTAAGTGGGTGGATCACTTGAGCTCAGGAGTTCAAGACCAGCCTGGGCAACATAGTGAAATCCCGTCTCTATTTGAAAAAAAAAAAAAAAACATTATTAGGCCAGGCACAGTGGCTCATGCCTGTAATCCCAGCACTTTGGGAGGTTGAGACAGGTGGATCACCTGAGGTCAGAACTTTGAGGCCAGCCTGGTCACCAACATGGCAAAATCCTGTCTCTACTAAAAATACAAAAAATTAGCCAGGAGTGGTGGTGCACGCCTGTAGTCCCAGCCACTGGCGGGGCTGAGGCACGAGAATTGCTTGAATCTTGGAGGTAGAGGTTGCAGTGAGTCAACATCGCATCACTGCACTCCAGCCTGGGTGACAAAGTGAGATGCTGTCTCAAAAAAAAAAAGGAAAAATTATTTAAAGAAATATGGCCAGGCGTGGTGGCTCACGCCTGTAATCCCAGCACTTTGGGAGTCCGAGGCAGGTGAATCACGAGGTCAAGAGATCAAGACCTGGTCAACATGGTGAAACCCCGTCTCTACTAAAAATACAAAAAATTAGCTGGGCATGGTGGCGCGTGCCTGTAATCCCAGCTAATCAGGAGACTGAGGCAGGAGAATTGCCTGAACCCAGGAGGCGGAGGTTGCGGTGAGCCGAGATCGCGCCATTGCACTCCAGCCTGGGTAACAAGAGCGAAACTCTGTCTCAAAAAAAAAGTAAAAATAAAAATAAAAAAATAAAGAAGTATCTTTTGCTTAGTTTTGGAAACTTTTAAGTAGATTACAGTTAAAAGATTAAAGAATAATTGGATAGTTTAGCAATATAGTCACAAAGACCAGCTTGTTAATTAACTCTAAGAACCCCTGAACTTTTCAGCGTTTCTCTGACTCATGGTTCTGTGTTTATTTTCTAGTATGCAGTGCTCTTTTTGCTGGGTTTATTTGTGCTGGTCCACCGTGAGTAAGAAGTCTGCCTTGCTGTTCCTGGGAAGATGCCATACTTTCGTTACTGGATGTTTGGAGTAGATACTGGTCTGTGATTGGTGGAATGGAGAACACGCATGTCGGTGCTTCTTGGTAGCACTGGTTTGCATTAGTTTACGTTTCCACGCCAGAGTTTGTTTGGGTGGGCACATGTGCACCACAGAGTGCACTTGAGGGGACTTTCAATCACAGGATTTCATAGTTGTCATTGTCACACTTTCACATTTTTGTACATCAGTGACTTTTTTATATTAAAAGGTTGAGCCAAAGCCCCCAGTGTTTGTATTTTGAAGCCAAGCTTCACTTCTAAAGTGCCTACAGAGACTTGTAAATGACAATGCAGCTCTGCACGAGTTTGAAACCGTCATACCTCCTTCTAATAGGAATGGCATATACTGAGGTGGTCATAAGTCTTAACTTTTAAAATTTTAAATAAAAGACTTTGCACATTGAACCCCTTATCCCTGAATTGTATTTGTTGGGTAAGCTTCTGAAATTTGCCTTCCTTCGCTGGTTCTTAGTACTCCTTGGGGATATAAAGCCTTCATGTGAATAGTCCAGCTAAGAAGCTTGCTGTAATACTAAGAACCAGTTTTTTGTTTGTCCGTTGTGTGTGTGTGTGTGTGTGTGTGAAGCCATTGATATTCATAGGAAATCTCTTAGTCATAAAATAGATTCTTCACATGACTCAGGTGTGTATAAACCCAGCTAGTGTTGCTAAGAGGTTCAGAAAAATCTCACTTGGTTATAAAAAGTCATAACCCTTTCTACACCAAGGAAGTGTGTGAGCATCTAGAGGCAGAGGAAGGGGCTGGGGAAAAGCATTCTGCTTGTTATCTTTACACTCTCATTTGTCTGAACCTGTTCTCTCAAGTACCTGAATTTGCGTTTCTCTATGCAGACTTTAATCAGGCAGTTTAAAGTAGTGAATGCACAGCCCAATTGTATGTTTTCTTTTAATATGAAGGCAGTGAGGGAAAAATGGAGCATAGAGTAAACCAATATGTTTTTAGCACAAAATACTCTTAATTCTATCTGTTCTCTTGTAGTCATGTGAAATCTTTAAGTAAGTGAGTTTTCTGTGCGGGGCTACTTGAACGGTTCCTGTTATTTGTTCGACTGCAGGGGAAGCCAGTCTGTGCTGTAGTGCTAATGGCACGAGAACAGGGACAATTACTCTTCTGAAGCCCTCCCCTGTGGAGAATAGTGCTTTCCTAAACCCATTAACCAGGCTTTAGCCTTCTAACTTTGGATATGGGCTCCTAATATTCTCACAGAGTATGAAACTTGGCAAATCACTGCTAACAAATGCTTTTTTGAACCTGTCTGTGAGACTTATAGAGTACTTATATTTTCTCACGAGCCAGAGGCTGAACATTCCCTGTGTGGAATGGTAGAAAATTGCTGTTTATTCCATATTCCCCTCGTCACCTGTGGAAGATGCAGTTAGTTCACTGCTCGGCCTAATCAGTACACTGGTTTTTGTACCAACTACAGCTGGATGCTCTAGCTTCAAGCAACAACTAAATTTCTCTGAAAAGATAATCAAATCATTTAATAATATTTTAATCACTCCATTAGCCAAAAATTAAAAGATTACTTGTGGGGAGGGGTATTATAATCCCAATTTTTATCTTGTCTTGTTTAGTACTAAATTTAAGACTTGAAATGGGAGATTTTATTAGCAAATATATCCTAAAAGCTCTTTGAAAATGTAAGAAACGCCAGAGAGGTTTCATTTGCTAATTGAATGGAGTGATAAGCTCTTGGATCTGCAGGGCAAGTAGAGAATGGGGAAGGCTCAACCATTGTGAGTGAAGGGAATTGAAGAAGAGTATGAAAACTGTTCGAACTTGACATGAGAAATTGATAATGGGTTACCTCTTTGGCTGTTACTTGTCTGTCCTTACAACTTGGGTGAATAAATCTCTTTATATTATTTCCGGTGCCTGTCCTCAGCTCTGGTTCCATGTCTCTGTTTCCTCTGGACACTTCCACTTGATTGTCCCGTCTTTAAACTCAAGTTCCTGAACATTTCCCCTCCAAATTTCATGTTTTCTTTGAAGACATATTCATTAAGATTTGCCATTTCCCCACCATATCTAGTCACGGTCTAAGTCCTCCATTGACACCACTATTCCATTTTCATTGGCATCACCTGAATCCAGAAATACTTACTCAGTGGCTCCCCATTGTTTGTGTACTGGTCCCCTGCAGTGTGCCAGTCTGCCTATTTTGGATAATTACCACCTGTTATTAATAATTAGTTGTAGCCTGCCTTTTACTTTCAGAAATGCTTTTTTTTCCCCTTCTTCTTTATTTTCTCTTACACAGAAGAACAGAAATGCTTCGTTTGGATGATAAATTTTGTGTTCATCCTACCTTTTGCCTACATTGAATTCAGACTTTAAATCCCACTAAGGGTGAGCATCCTTATGAGTGCAGACATCCATGTATTTATGTCTTCATCTGTCTGATCCCTCCCCTGTATACACTTATTGGGAGGAAGACATTAATACTTTCCCTACTCAGACCAGGCACGGTGGCTCGCACCTGTAATCCCAGCACTTTGAGAGGCCAAGGCAGGCGGATCACTTGAGGTCAGGAGTTTGAGACCAGCCTGGCCCACATGGTGAAGCTCTACTAAAATTGCAAAAATTAGGCAGCTGTGATGGTGTGTGCCTATAATCCCAGCTACTTTTGAGGCAGAGGCAGTAGAACTGCTTGAACCCAGAAGGCAGAGGTTGTAGTGAGCTGAGATTGTGCCGCTGCACTTCAGCCTGAGTGACAGAGACTCCATCTCAAAAAAAAAACTTTCCTCATTCACAACCAGTTGTGTAAAAGTATTATTTTTCCTCCTTTGCTGAGTGTTTCCACTTGTATTATCTCAGTTTATTTCTGTTTATCTGAGTCTTACCATCTTCACAAATTCTGCTGCCACTCAGCATTTGCAGCCTCATACTGTTTGTGTAAGTTTGTGAATATGGCTTCACAGTTCCTGGCATATTGTAAGCTCCTCCAGGACAGGAGCCCCATTTCATAGACACTGTACTGTCTTTCCCCAGTGGTCTGAAATAGCGTATATTAAATGTTCAGTATAATCATGCACTGGAGCCAGAGGCAGTAGCTTCAGTTAGCATTGTTGTTGAGCAATTATTTAGAGGCAGAGCATATGAATCATTAAAGTGATCTGTACTTTCCTGTTATTTAGTAAGAACATTTTCTTGGTTTTGCCAAATAGAATCTGAAAACTTTCTCCACGGTTCCACTTAAACACCATGTACCCTTCCCAGATTTTTAAATGTTAATCCTTCCTTCTTTTTTGTGTACATCCTTAGACTCTTGTGTCTTCTTGATGGGAGAAGTATTGGCATTTATCATTTTTCTTAAGGAGTCACAGGCTTCCTTCTTAGAGAGCCAGGGCTTGGAAGAAAGTCTCTGTTATCCTGAGTTCATTTATTGGTATTTGCATAAGCTTTTGCCAAGTCCAGCTAACCTCTCAGAATGTGGCATGAAGGCTGATTTCAGAATCCGAGGGCCTGGCCTCTTCCTATGACATTTACCACTGTTAAGCTTGAGAGATGACCCAGCTGTTCCTAGCTAGGTAAATGGATGTTCATCAAGCAGCTCTTTCAGTCAGGATGGCCTATTCGGGCTGTTTTATGGCCAGATATATCTTCACCACTACTGTCTCTTGCTAGAACAGTCAGTAATACCAGGCAGGCTTTCAGAAGTAAAACAGCAAATATGACCCTTCACACACAACTGTGGTGGGTCTGGATGTAGAAAGAATGCTGTGTAAGAAGACGTTGTCTTCCACTTGTCATTCTAGGCTCTAAGGATTTTTCCAGCCTCACTTTCACCAGAGATCACATTCTTGCACCCTGGACATTAGTTTATAGTACAGACATTCTGTCTTTGCTTATGCTGGTCACTCTGCCTGGAGTGCCTGGTCACTTCCCCACCTACCAAAAGCTTTCACATACATTTAGCAGACTTTTTTTTTTTTTTTCAGACGGAGTTTCTCTCTTGTTACCCAGGCTGGAGTGCAATGGCGCAATCTCAGCTCACCACAACCTCCGCTTCCTGGGTTCAAGCAATTCTCCTACCTCAGCTTTCCAAGTAGCTGGGACTCCAGGCCTGCGCCACCATGCCCAGCTAATTTTGTATTTTTAGTAGAGGTAGGGTTTCACCATGTTGACCAGGATGGTCTTGATCTCTTGACCTTGTGATCCACCCACCTCAGCCCCGAAAAGTACTAGGATTATAGGCGTGAGCCACCGCACCCAGTCCCATTTAGCAGACGTTATTGAGCATCTACTCTGTGCCAGATTTTGGGCTAGGACCTGGGGATACAAAAATGATGGACAAGACCAGGTTCCTCCTGCTCTGCCAGGAACTCAGTACCTTAACAGGAGCAATGCACATAAACACATTTTTCCACATAGGATCTTAAGTATAATGATATTCCAGCAGTCACACACAAAAGTAAATAAATAAAAATAAGTGCAGTGATAGAAAGATGCTCAGGGAGCTCCAGAGAAGGGTGTTTTTCCTTTTTTTTTTTTTTTTTGAGACAGTCTCGCACTGTCACCCAGACTATATAGTACAGTGGCGCTACCTCAGCTTACAGCAACCTCTGCCTCCTGGGTTCAAGCAATTCTCCTGCCTCAGCCTCCTGAGTAGCTGTGACTATAAGAATGTGCCACCACATCCAGATAATCTTTTTGTATTTTTGTAGAGACGAGGTTTCACCATGTTGGTGGGGATGGTCTCGATCTCCTGACCTCGTGATTTGTCCACCTCGGCCTCCCAAAGTGCTGGGATTACAGGCTTGAGCCACCATGCCCGGCTGAGGGGTGTTTCTTATTGCACATGGAGCTTCTGAGCCCGTGTCATGCTTCCTGCACCACACTGCCCCGCACGTTGTTCATGCTCCTCTCGAACATGCCCTTAGAGTGGTTTGCCTTATGTGTGTCTCTCTCCCCACCAGAGGGCCAGCTCCTGGAGGGCATTAAGACAGAGTCAGCCTCTGATTCATCCTTTGCTTTGCATATTTTATTTGTACTGTCTTGTTGTGTAAAGATACCTTCAGTACTATGTGATGAAATAGAAAATAATTGAAGAATTCAGGGTTGAGAGAAATGTGGGATAAGAAAAGGATGAAATCAAGGCCGGGCACGGTGGCTCATGCCTGTAATCCCAGCACTTTGGGAGGCCGAGGTGGGTGGATCACGAGGTCAAGAGATCGAGACCATCCTGGTCAAAATGGTGAAACCCCGTCTCTACTAAAAATACAAAAATTAGCTGGGCATGGTGGCACATGCCTGTAGTCCCAGCTACTCAGGAGGCTGAGGCAGAATTGCTTGAACCCAGGATGCAGAGGTTGCAGTGAGCCAAGATCACGCCATTGCACTCCAGCCTGGGTAACAAGAGCAAAACTCCATTTCAAAA